CCAAAATCTCATTTATAATGGGACAATTGCAGTGACAAACATGTACTTTTCAATAGAATCGAAGACACTACCTAGCTTCCATATGAGTACTTTTACACTGCCAGAACTTAAATCACCTTAAGCCACCAAAGCTTGCTAAGTTCTTATTCAAGAATAACTGAGAGTTTAGAAATATATTGTTGAGCTTACTTCCATTTCGAGTGAAAAGGTCAACGAGCCAAGAAAACTCCTTGACTCGTTAGTCTAAATTTGATTGTAACGATGATACCTTGCTCTGATGATGTTCGTCATATGACGGACGAAAGCTTAGCACCTTTTCACCGAAATCGAAGGGGATTACCTCTGAAACAGCGTCTGCATGAATCTTCCAGTAAAGCCAATCGACAGCTGGTCAAGAGAAATCCGCCGTCGTCTTCCGGTGTAGCCGACCTTCGAATCTATTCACGCAACACTTTCACGCGAAATGGAAGTAAGCTCAACAATTATGAAACAGGAGATTCCTCAAAACCCAACTTTTCTTCGCATATAAATATATTCACACAGAGCATAAGTGAAAGTCGATTGTAATGTTTACCCTATATTTGCCTCATCATTAAGCTGACTTTAAACATGACTTGGAAAAGGTCTGGCTCGCCTTGAGCGTCAAATCGGCCCAGTAACCCGGTGGCACCAGTGGGTGAATGATGGAGTGTCAGCATGTCACCACGATAAGTACAACTCTGATTCAAATCCAGTTGGAGGTACTGATTATACCAAAGTTTGGTTGAAACAACAGGTCAGGCCGGTTTCAAGGCCAAAGAAAACTAAATTATATCATCAGACTTGATCATAGCATTGTGGGAAAGACTCCATTATAAGTTCATAAACCACCTAATCGATCTAGAATGACTAAATTCTTATATTTATGTAATGGACAGTTCCTAAGCCTACTCTCAAGGAGCATATCGTTGTTGCAATTTATGGAGAATTGTGTGCCAAACTTGAACTTGAATAAGCCAGAAACTGAAGGGAATCAGAAACGAGACAAGACCCACCTATTCATTTGTCCAAGAGCTCTAAGATAAGCTTCTTCCAATATAGCAAGCCATCTGTACACTGTGGCATGACTCTCCATTTCGAAGGGAAAGTTGGTTGGAAGGAGTTTGTGATGCGGTCCCACCGGAAAGCGAAGGAGGATTGTCGCGTGGGGAAGGCTGTTGAATTGTGTGAAGTAGTCCTCGGCTCCCCGTCCTGCGACCCCGATGAAACTGTGCTGAGCTTTGGTCTGTACTGTGACAAACAGCATCAGAGCAAGATTCCATACTTTACGAGATAGAGGAAAAATATGCCAAACAAAGAGAAAAGACATAAACCCTCGATTCTAATGAGGCATCATATGATTTGGTTGGCCATTCCAAATATATTTCACATGCTTGCAAATGAGTGAAGTTAACATCCCGAACCGGAAGTAAGTTCGGTGGCAGCTGTTTCTTTAAACAAAAAAACTAGCGGAGGCTCGTCTAAGGTTGAATCATGTTTTGGCTTGTGCTACTGTCTATCGTGTGTATGTAATGCTCATATCATGGGAAGTGTGATAGTCCTTGATAGACTCGAGGCTAATCCAGCCTCCACTTGCTCAGTGGCTCTTTCTGCACACCCTCTATCTCCCTTTCTTTAAGTCTATCCAACAGCCACAAACAGTTCCTACTCCCCTTTATACACTCGTTCCTCCTATTCAGGACGTTGGCTGTTTTGTTAATTCATATAGGCTCCATAATCTTACGCTTTGACGTGAAGTCCCCGTAACCCGCAAAACGTTGTGTTTTGGACCAGCCTATTGAGTGTCCCGTATTGGCCATGTGTTCAGCGAGCTCATATTTTTGTACCCACGGACCTTTTCATGTGGTTCTGTGTCAGTATAGTCCCTTATGAATGAGTCAACAGATCTCCTCCACATAGACTTTACCACATGAGCATAAAACCTT